CCTCAAAGTTCATGGTATATACTTCTTCATACAGAAACTATAAAATGTTTCTCAAGTCATGAGTAGTGCATTTACTAGTCGGAACTCAACATGAGACCACCACAACATTTTGGTGTCTCCTTTGAACTGGTATATCATAAACTTAACGCCAAATCACTCACCATATCCATCTTATGAAGCATGCCATGACAATCAACAAGAAAATCATGAGAATCTTCAGATTCAATACCCATGAAGAATGAAGGTTTCAACCTTAAGAACCTAATAAAAAACCTCATGTTTGTCACTAGTCATTACATGCCCACATTGAATCGGGGAAACATGCTTATTTGGAAGGACGCATCCTCTCTTGCTAGTGTTGGTGTTACCATTTTGTTGCTCTAGTTTTGACCATAGAGTGAAGGAGGAAAGATACCAATTTGTATCACCCAGATACCAATTTGTATCACCTAGATACCAAGTAATAGCATGAAGAAAGAAAGGAATGAGTTTTCCTAAAGTCCTATAGCCTCTTGAAGAAAAGTACAGACGTCTCCGTACCGTTCCACAAGACTCTACTAGACTCGTTGTGGTACAATGAGATCAACAAACCTATGACTCTGATACCAACTTTGTCACGATCCAGATTGTCGTGATTGGCACCCACACTAACCCTCCGGTGGGAGAACTATTACTACAACCCAACTAAGCAACTTAACGAAAACTAGAACATTTAAAGATACAGAAGCATGTTTAAATGTCTAAGAAAAATGGAGTTCCCATAAACTTCGAAAGGTAAACAAAACAACTACCAAACATTTGCGGAAAACAACTCCTAGAACCTGAAAGTCAATGTACCAAAACTCTAACGATTAACAACTCTAAGGAAAAGGGGTGCAATCCCGAAAACTAAAACATAACAACCTAATAGATAGTCTGAGCCCGAAAAGAATGGACTAAACAAAGAGGACTCATGGCAACCTGGAAGAACTGGTTCACCCTTGAATCCGGTCTCGATCAGTTGTCTCCTAATTGAGGTCGATCAGTAACCGCCTGAAGATGCCCTGTACTCAATAAAGAACGAGCAAGTGCAGTATCAGTACACAACCACAATGTACTGATAGGATCACGCAACCACCCCATAAGCACAATATACAACGATCAATCACAACATAGTAAACACACATATATAAAATACAGTTCAGTTATCATTTCAGAGCAACATACAGTCTTCCATTATCAATGATAAATAGACATAAACATAGCAATCACAAGTAGTTCTCTCATGGAACCTATACCCAAACTGTTAAGGTGTCGAAACGTGACACCCGATCCAGTCAGCACAACCACAATCATAATCACACCCATAATGAACAATGCTCATAGTCATACAATCAAGGAATGGTTTCATGGCATGTAATTATTCATATACATATACTCATTTGCATTAGATTCGATTTACAATCCCTGTTCTCATACATGGATGCATACAACAAAGCAATTAACCGACATATATAATACAAACATGAAATCAAACCATCACCTACCTTGAAACCAAGCCTGAATCCTCCTAAGACACTTGAGCCTTCCTTTTCTGAATTCTTTCCGCTTGTTCTTGGTCTACAAACGATTAATTTAATGCAATGATCAATAATTAAGGTCTTATTTATCCCGATTATAACAGACCCAAAAAACCCAAAACCAAACCCTTGATCCTAGGGTGCATCTAGGGCTTTTTCCCACCATCAACTTCATGCCAAAACCCTCCCCGAATGATAATTACCTAAGAATCTAAGTTTTACGGATCGAAAATGGATTAGGGGAGTAAAATCCTTACTTTTTGCACCAAAATTCGTGGAAAACTGTCAAGAAATCGCCCTGGGTTGTCTCCTAACTCTTAAGAATGAAGTTTGCAGAAAAATAACGAAATTGAGGTTTTTTCCCGAGTTAAGTCGCGACTGACCCGCTATGGCGGACCCCAACCCGCCCCAGCGGCTTACACGAAAACAGAATCTTGGAATTTGAGTTCCAAGCTCCCATTTCATAACACACCTTCAACCTTTGACATTCAGAAATTACCCTTTCACGGCAAGATCAGTTTCGGGGGTTCTACTCGCCCGAATTCGATTCCATAAAGTCGTACGGGCTCCTTAACGTCTTCGCTATCCACTCATATGATAAAATTCACAATTAGATCCCCAATTCATTACCAGATTTCCCTAGATCTTACCTGACCCAGTTTTCGTCCAAATCTGGACTAGGCTACAATTTTTCAAGTCCCTACTCAATAGTTTTTCGACCCAAATTCTTTCCCCATTGACTTTTCGATAACGACGGGAACAAGTCGTTACAAAAATATTATATATTATTTACATATAATTTTGCAGGATTATAAAAAAAGGTAACAATATTTTTGTGGAATTATATCGCTATTTAATTTATCTTTTTATTTATCTATGTATAAATACTGATTGAAAATTTGAATATATACATTTTAATTTAATAAAAAATAAATTTAATTAAATTTTTGTAATAGATATTTAAAATAGTTTCTCTCTATAAAATAATCTTAATATTAAAAGTACATTAATATTTGTCCTTTTTCATAATTTTACTCAAAAACGTACTTTTAAAAAAAGTTACTCAAATACAATCTGCATATAAAAAACACTTCTTAAATGAATTAAGCAAACACAAATTGTTTTTTCTTTACAAAGGCTTTTTTCTGAAAAACTATTTTTAAAAAGTACTTTAAAAAATTAATAGCTTTTAGCATCGCCAAACATGCACTTATTTTCTAAGAAATAACTAAAAGGAAAAATATTTTCCGTCACTGGCTGTCTATGTGTGTAACTGTGTATTAAATCTCAAATTGTTTGGCATCAATATATTTTGATTAATATTTTCGATGGAAAACATATTATCATGCCTAATCATCTCGTTAATAGAAGTTACAATGTTTAATTACATGAGACTTTTAGCCAAACCACTCTAGACTTTATGACTTGTTATTTAAGATCGTTGAAATTTCTTATAATTTGCTATTTAAGAGGTTAAAATTAATTTAATTTTAACAGGAGTAGCAAGTATATCTGAGATTGGAGTTTTTAGATATATATGTACGTGTTGACTTGTAAGAGTTTCAATAATTCCAAGAGTGTTATTATTTTAAGACTTTCTATATAAAATTTATTTTTCATATATAAATAATTCATTATTTTTTTTGTTCATTTGTATTAAAACTAAGAACATACCCTAATTATTCATTACAATATAAATTGATATAAATATCTCTCTATATCTCTCTCTCTCTCTCTCTCTCTCTCTCTCTATATATATATATATATATATATATATATATATATATATATATATATTTATTCGATACAATTTGATTGGATCGATTTATTCCATTTTTAAAGATCAATTGAAACCCTATCTACATGTGACTTGGAAAAGAGATTTGGCCGAAGTACACAAACGGTTGATTTTACGATCATCATTTAAAGTATAGTCAAAATTAAAGTTTATATGTTTAGTTACTTAAACTTGATTTCAAATCTACGAGATTGAAGTTAAAATCCGACTTGAAGTTATGAGCATCAGGTGTACGTGTCTGGGACTTGTCAAAGTAAACACCATATAATTTGAAAGCAAGTAATCTTCAAACAATTTGAAAAAGTATAGAAACACTTAACTAGTCCTTTCTATAGTATCCCTTAATGGATATCGAATAGTTGAAACTAGATGTATTAAGACATCATTATAAAGTAAGGACACTTGATTAATTTTACATGAACTTAGTGCTAGCTTGTACGATCAAGGTTTTAAGAAGTCAAAGATATATATATTTTTTTAAAAACGAAAATATTTGATCAAGTTTTTTGTAAAAAAGTAATTTATAAGAGTAGCAAAAGTTGTTTTTTTTTTTTAATTTTAAAATTAGTTTTTCCTAGATAGATCATTTTAAAAAGCACTTTTAAATTTGACCAAACACTAATTATTATTTAGTCAGTGCCTTTTAAATTGATTAGTTGCTTATCACCAAAAGTACATATTTTTTAAAAATCCCATTTGAGAAAAACATTTAAAAAAAATAAAATAAAAATAAAAATAAAAATAATAATAATAAAAATAAAAAAAAAAATAAAAAAAAAAATATATATATATATGTTAAAACGCATAGGTGCGTTATTATTAGTACTTCTTCAGAATCTAAATGCCAATTAAGTTGGCAATTTCTTTTAAAACTAACTCTATGAATTTAGTGTTTTTGTCAAAAGTTTATCAACACATCTTATAAGTGAAATAACTTAAAAAAAGTTAGATATTTTCTTTGTTTCAAAGTAAATAGTATTTTACGGAAAATAATTTATCCCAAAATAAGATGTAGGACAACGAATAGGGTTGTTCCTCCCTAATCAGAGATTTCGAGTTCGAATCTTGGACTTGTATCGATCATCGGACAAAAAAAATAAAATTGAAGATGGTACGCTAAACAAAATAAAAATAACAACGAGTTAGTTGCAATTATTTTGTTTGGTTGGGTTCCTCTATTTTTTTCTCTTGACGAAATAATTCTCATGTATGGTGTTCACTAATTTAAATAGGGAAATTCGAGAAATCCAATTTGCCAAAGATAACCAAAAGTCAAAAGATTAATTTAAATTTGGAGCTATAACTTAGATTTTGAAAAAAACAAATTTATATGTAAAGTGCAAATACAAAACAATGATACATGATCTTGATCTTGACTAATTCATGGTCTACCATGAACTACACCCATAGTTTAGTAGGAATCTATTTCATAATAATTAGGATGAAATTCTATATACTTAATGTGTATTTTTCAAAGATCATTTGGCCAGTTTGTACTTGTTTTTCTAAATGTTTTGACCCATTTTTATTTTTTACAAAAAAAAAAAAAAACTTGTCATTATCAATTGTTTGGGTCTCTTGCTATATAAAGAGCTAATTCTTACACCGATGTTGCAAAAACAACAAACTAGTTTAGTTCCAATATGGGAACACCATCAAAGTTGGGGCAATGGCCCCTTCTTGTTTATGCTTTTGCCTTTTGCTTGATAGTCATTAGTGTAGCAGCTGATTATAAGCCTAACATTGATGATTCATCATCTTTGTCATACCGTTATAGGCCACGTTCCCCTCCACCACCTCCCCCACTACGTCGTTACTATTATAAATCGTCCCCGCCTCCTCCTCCACGACGTCGTTACAATTATAAATCGCCTCTGCCACCTCCTCCGCGACGTCATCACTATTATAAATCACCTCCGCCACCTCCTCCGCGACGTCATCACTATTATAAATCACCTCCGCCACCTCCTCCGCGACGTCATCACCATTATAAATCACCTCCGCCACCTCCTCCGCGACGTCATCACCATTATAAATCACCTCCACCACCACCTCCATCACCATCACCACCTCCTCCACATTATTACAAATCTCCACCACCACCTTCTCCACCTTCCCCACCAAATTATTACCATCATTCACCACCACCACCACCTCCAACATATCATTATGAATCTCCACCACCACCTTATTACAATAATCCTCCACCACCGCCTACTCCATCTCCACCGCCACCTTATTACCATAATCCACCACCACCACCACCACCAATCCATTCTCCTCCTCCACCATCACTTCCATCTCCATCTCTATCTCCATTGCCATCACCCCCATTGACTACACCTGTCGATGAACCATCTCCATCTCCATCTCCGTTGCCATCACCACCATTGATTGCACCTATCAATGGGCCATCTCCACCTCCATCTCCATTTCCATCACCACCATTGATTGAACCTACCGATGGACCATCTCCATCTCCATTACCATCACCACCATTGATTGCACCTACAGATGGACCATCTCCATCTCTATTGCCATCACCACCATTGATTGCACCTACCGATGGACCATCTCCATCTCCATTTCCATCACCACCATTGGTTGAACCTACCTATGGACCATCTCCATCTCCGTTGCCATCACCACCATTGATTGCACCTACTGATGGACCATCTCCATTGCCATCGCCACAATTGATTGAACCTACTGATGGACCATCCCCGTTGACATCACCATCATTGATTGCCCCTACAGATGGACCATCTCCATCCCCGTTGCCATCACCACCATTGGTTGCACCTACCGATGGACCATCGCCATCTCCATCTCCATTGCCATCACCACCATTGAATACACCTATCGATGGACCATCTCCTTCTCCATCTTTATCTCCACCTATATCTCCGTCTCCACCTCCACCACCTCTAATAAACTCCCCCCCTCCTCCATCGCAATCTCCACCTCCACCACCTTCTCCATCTCCACCACCTCCAGTTAATTCCCCACCCCCTCCACCACCTTCTCCATCTCCACCACCTCCTCCATCGCCATTTCCACCTCCACCATCTTCTCCATCTCCACCACCTCCTCCATCACCATCTCCACCTCCACCACCTGCTCTATCTCCACCACCTCTTCCATCGCCATCTCCACCTCCACCTTCTCCATCTCCACCACCTCCTCTATCGCCATCTCCATCTCCACCACCTCCAGTTAAGTCTCCACCTCATCCATCACCATCTCCACCTCCACCACCTTCTCCATCCCCACCACCACCTCCATCTCCTCTTTGCAATAATAAATCTCCTCCCCCACCATCTTTATTCCATTTTCCAATACCATTTCCTTGGTTGCGAACTCCACCTCCGCCACCTAATTGTACTCCTCCACCACCTTTAATAAACTCCCCCCCTCCTCCATCGCCATCTCCACCTCCACCACCATCTCCATCTCCACCACCTCCAGTTAAGTCTCCACCTCCACCACCTTCTCCATCCCCACCACCACCTCCATCGAAATCTCCACCTCCACCTCCGCTTTGCAATAATAAATCTCCTCCCCCACCATCTTTATTCCCTTTTCCAATATCATTTCCCTGGTTGCGAACTCCACCTCCGCCACCTAATTGTACTCCTCCACCACCTTTAATAAACTCTCCCCCTCCTCGATCGCCACCTCCACCACCTCCAGTTCAGTCCCCGCCTCCTCCATTTCAAATAATTACTCCACCATATCCACGACTACCTCCACTCCCAATTCCTCCATTGCCACGACTACCTCCACTCCCAATTCCTTCAGTTCCACGACTACCTCCACTCCCATTTCTTCCATTTCTTCCATTTCCCTTTGGTCGGCAACACTAGTACTAAAACCCACCTCCACTACCATTGAAATTTCATGGTTATCATTACACATCATCTCCTCCTCCTTCACAACTAAAACAAGTTTGATTTTACAATAATTGCATGATATTGCATCTTGTGTCATTTGAACTGTGTAATCAATTGGTGTTTCTCTTTTGAGAGATTGGCTTATTGATATTGTAATGCTTTTTCTTACGGATTTAGTGTATATTCTAAATAAAAAGGATTCGAATGAAATTCGGCTTCACTTGTTGTTTATTTTCTCTACTTCCTATTTTATTGAACACTATATGACTAGACTTTTATGTTAATCTGAGTTGTATATTTATCAGTGGTAGTTTAACATACTATCAACCAGGGGGCGGAGGCAGCATATAATGAGGGGGTTCCAAACCCCCTCGACAAAAAATATTACTATTTATACATGGTTAAAATTATTTTTTAAGTATGTATAATAGATGTCGAACCCCCTTCCACTAGTTCGTGTATTTACTTCTCAGATTTTGAACCCCTTATTAAAATTTCTGGTTCTGCCACTGCTATCAACCTATAGTTGAAAAGTTATTTTGAAAAAAAAATGTTATATTATTATTATTATTATTATTATTGTTGTTGTTGTTGTTGTTATTATTATTATTTTAATTCAGATATCTTCTAAATATTTCACCCAAAGATTACCATCTATCTATTATTATAAATTAGTAATGTTTGCAAGAAAAATTGGAAAGTACACGTACATTTCAAAGTATAAACCTTTAGAATTTTATGTTATATCATAAAATTTTATTGGTAAAAGGGATTCAACAGTTTTGACATAGGAAAATTTAGAAGTTCCTTTTGTAATTAAAGTCAATCCCACACTTTGTACTAGCATGTCGTCACATGGGTTTGTCATTGTCTCCTACCTTGCGATCTAGAATTTTGATTTATCACAATTCTAATACTAATATTATTAAATAGTGATTGTAAATATTATGATTGCCAAAACCTAGGTATGTTTTCGGAGAATAATAAGAAGACACAGTTGTAGATTTTAGAGACTATCCTCTGCGACTTTTTCTTTTTAGTACAAGTTTGACTTAAAAATACAGTTATTGAGCTTCCCCTGCCTACGAGAAGGGGTCTCTCCCTATCAACTATCTTATTCAACATTGGCGGGGTGGCTTTTTTCTTTCACAATAAGACCTGGACGATTATCCCTACCTTTCATAAAGAAGCCGGGACTCATGCAAACAAAAAAAGGCCCTTACGCTCTAGTTTGATCGGGGGCCGCAACGAATTTTTTCATTAAAAAAAAAATACACATAAGAGGAGGACTATGACTTTGCCTCCCCATCGCTAGAGTATAGACTCATCTTATACAGAGGGTTAGGTGCGTAGGATATATGCAAACCTAACGACTAACATAGGACGACGACTCTTCTTATTTACATTTTGTCATATCCAACATAAATAAAGGAGACCCTGCTTTTACACTAATTTATAAAGGAACTAAGATACATCAAAATATAAAAAAAAAAGATGGACATAATTTTCCTTTTAACACATATTTCAATTGTTGTGGTATGGTGCCTTGTGGTGAATTGACATCCCTTATTTTCCCATTATGTGTGCTTCAAAAGATGTTGTAGAAAATAAAAAAAAAGCTATTCTGATTATTCATTTCTATCTTTACCTCTCTTAGGCAGTGAGTAGATTTGAGATTAATTTGTTTAATCTTTTGTTGAACCTTCACTAGTACAAATAAAGGGTATATAATCAATCAACTAATTTTCGTTATATTATATTTAGTGTCGATAATAAAGATGAATATTTATAACAGTACTTTATATAAATATAGCTAAAGGATTTATTCCACCACTTAGCTTGTAGTCGTGGTTCTTGATTGTCCCTTGATTGCCAATGGCTCTTCAAAATGATTCCACAAATGTTGTGTTGCTTCATCATTTAGAGACATTGAAAGAAATACTTTACCCCACTACACGTATTCATAACTTGTTCCTATAGACGCATTAAGCAGTAGAGAAATAAAATTAACAAGAAACAAATTTATCGTGAAAAACTATTTGCTCAAGGGAGTATAAATTACGAACTATAGTGCGTAGGATTTCAACCACAAATTGTAAGAATTATTTCTTACTTATGGCCTTAGTTTACTTGTGATACAAGTAATAACATAAATAATATTTAATAAAGAATATATCTCGTCCGTACATTTGGTTACTTGATGGACGTACCAGGTTAAATCTTAACCTCTACCCATTAGGGTTACCACATATTATCTACAATAATTCCATCGCTGACGGTTGTGGTAACGTAAGGCTAGGGCAAGGAGGTAGAAACCAATTTACGACTAACGCTTCCGCTTCTCTCTGTGATGATGTCTTCCGCATCATGTATGTACCTCTAATGATCTTTATGTAAGATTATTGTGTTCAAGATCCTGATATGTATTAAGGTATTTAATCTGACATGTGGCAGTAGAGCCTGGATTGTTTGAACGGATGATCTTCATAAATTATATAAATGCATCAGCCTTGGTAAAGTAATAAAAAGTAGTCACTGCCCATCACCCCTAAATAAATAAATAATTATGTTTTGTTTTAGATTGCATAAATTCTGAAAATCTTAATCTTTCCATAATGTAATAATTATTTTTTGTTTAGATTGTGCAATAAATTAAAATGGTCGTTATGCTAAGCAATAAATAATATGTGTGCACTTAGTACAATATAGTTTGTTAGTCACCAAAGTGGTCAAACTAGAGAAATTAACGTCCACACATATAATATTTATGATCACTTGATGCATGTATTATGTTTCTATAGTTTGTTAGTCACCAAAGCGGCCAAATTAAAATGTATAAAATTATTCACATGCACAAAATTTTATGATATTATGTGTATTTGTATTCATCTAGTTTGTTAGTCACCAAAGTGACCAAACTAGAAAAATTAACGTCTACACATATAATATTTATGATCACTTGATGCATGTATTATGTTTCTATAGTTTGTTAGTGGCCAAACTAAAATGTATAAAATTATTCACATGCACAAAATTTTTATGATATTATGTGTGTATTTGTAGGCCAAACTAGTATGGTTAAGAAAAATATGCATTCATAAAATTGTCATTTATCTATGAAGGTTAATTAAATGCCTATATTGAAAAATAAATAGATATGTTGACTTTCACTATTGGTAGAACTTAAAAATTTACCCAAAGGTGAATCTATCATTCTATGAATAGTGAAAATTATGAGGTAAATTAATATTTTTAGTCTAATATATTGTCACGACCCGAGTCTAGACCCTGGACGTGACCGACACTCAATAACCATTGCTGGTCCCAAGCGAATCCTCATCCCGTCTGACTACAAGCGAAAGACTAACTTAAGCATGCAAAAGCTTAAAATTGAATAAAATTCATCAACTCAATTACAAATCTTTAACTCAAATGCTTAACTCTAAATAAAATAGTATATTCACTAGCCAAAAATAGGAAACTCAAGTCTTTAAATATTTAAACAAAATAAATGAACAGACTTCTCAAGCTCTATTGTCTATCTATGAAGCCTCTAAATGATAAAGATGGAAGTCGGGACAAGACCCACGACATCCTGACAAAACTGAAAGTAAATGGAATCCTTCGGAAGCAAGGAGGCTAACCATAGATAACTCAAATTGCATGTAGTATCAACGAAGTGCCTGTTGATGATCCTGAATACCTATATCTGCATCATGAAACGATGCAGGCCAAATAGATCAGTACGTGGAATGTACGAGCATGTAAGGGGAATTCTAAAACATAAGCATAAGCTTGAACTTGATAAAAAGGAAACATACTTACCTCTTCTCATACTCACTGAACTTAACTCAATCTCAAGGATACTCAAAGGTACTCAAACTTACTCAACTTAGAAGTACTCAAGGATAAGATACTCAACTCAATGAAATAAGACTCGACTAAAAAACATGGTACTCAACTCAGTGAATTATAGTCCAACTCAACTCAATGAAAGAAGAATCAACTCAATAATAAGATATTAAACTCTAGATTAGATACTCAACTCAAAATAAAGCAATAATAAAAGATGCAATATATGGAAAGCTTTTAAAACAATAGATATCAACTCAGTGTATTGAAAAATGCAATATTAGCTCAGTTTTTATGCAAGGATACAATATAAACTTTGTTTGTATATAAAAATACAAAAATAAACTCTGTGTATATAAGAGTACAAAATGTCTCTGTGGGAGTTTTCCTAACCGACAGCCATCATTATGAGCTATGTGATGATACAACGTCTGGTCCACGCTGCTAGAACTGTCCTATACCTTGCCAGGGTATAGAACCTTTCAACTAAGTGGATCCACTAGTCTATGCTAAAAAACACTAAGGAATCATCGAAAAAGTATGACCCTTTGTACCCACGTTGGCTACATGGTTTATGGAGACTTGAGTTATATGAACTCGTCCCCATATCGGTGCTCAATACTACTCCCAAAATATACTCAACTCATATGTCTAAAAATTGGTTTATGGAGACTTGAGTTATCTTAACTCTCTCTTGAATGTGAATTATGAATTCAAGAGTTATGGTTCATGATACGAAGGATCTCGTGATGATAAAGTAGACTCATGAATACATTCTCCTCATTCTCATACTCACTTTCTCGAGTCTTGAGACAAGTTATTAGAAATTGTAGAAGACTCCTCAAAAGACTCAAAGGGACTTTCTCAAAATGTTGAAAAGAACTCTCAAGACTTAACTCTTAGCTCTACCTTGAATTTGAATTATGAATTCAAGGTTATGATTTGTGATAGGAAAGATATCGTGATGAAAAGTGTTTTAGATAGTAGTCATGAGAAACGGTTGAAAAACACTATCTAGGGAACAAGTCCGCGACGCGGAGAGAAAAAATTTCACTTCTGAGGACCAGGTCCGCGTCGCAGACCTGAAACCTATTTCCTATCCGAGTTTTTCTTCCTCATTT